TAATTAAAAATATTTTTATGGTTTAAACATACATTTTAAATAATCAAACAATCATACCATTGAATTCCACATATATTTCGTTCCATAATGATTTTTTTATAGGTTCGAATCGAGCTGATAACGGAAGCCTATGGTCCCACAATGGATGACGTTCGCGAATCACATTTATTAATTTTGACATCGCTTCTGAATCATCGTCATCATCAGGTTCAGGTTCTCTGATTTGTGTTTCTACGGACTTTTTAACTATTTTAGCTGCAGATTCTTCTTCTTCAGCGTCACTTAAAAAATCCTCAGCAAAAGACTCAAATATATTTCTTGAAATTGGTGTTTGTTGAGCTAAAATTAGGTACAATTATATATTTAAAATGATTATTATCTGTAATAATACCAAAAACAATTTTGCAACAATATGTTTTCAAATTATCGTCATCTTACCTTTAGGTTTTATGTACTTTAATACTGGGCGTTGAGCTTGAGTTAAAAGAAAATTAACACGTTATGAAAACATATAATTGTATTATTATTAAATTTTGTAAAATATAATAAAGACAAACTATTATTATTATTATTATTATATAAGTAGTTAGTTAAAAATCCATAATCATAAGTTAGCTTTTTACAGTCGATTTTAAAACTAATTTGCTAAGTTAAAATCATGTTTATATTATACATAAGTATTTATAACTGTAAAAACTAATTATTTACATTATTAATTACCACCTGTGTGGCTGGTTAGATCACATTTAAAGTGGAAATTGCATTTTGTTTAAAATAACTAAATACTTTGACCAAAAATGAACTTTCCTATTCCTTCAAAATATAACACACTAACTGTAGCTTGTAATGATTTAATTAGTCATTTAATCAATTAGTTGTATGTATTGTTTAAGATACCTATGTATACACATGATTTTAAATTTTAACTTCATGTATTATTTTTTTAAATAACTGGAAAATGTGAAGTTAATACTATAGATATTTTAGTTGATTTATACACTAAAGTGTGAACCACAAATTAAAAACATTAATGAAAATAATTAAATAGTTTTAAAAAAAAAACCAATAGGTACCTAACACTGAACAACTTGACACCTGAGTGCACACCTATGCTACATTGCTACATTATACTATATTAATACTATATTATATTAATACTATATTAATAGGTACTCATTGAATTTAGCTATTATACTTTTTTAAAAGTAAGATTATTAATCATAGAAACTCAGGAGCTTTTTATTATATTTTAGTTTAAAAACGAGTTTGGAAAATCTTAAAATTGTATTAAGTAATAATTAACAATTTATTAACATAGTTTTCTAGCTTTAAAATTAAAATGTCAAAAACAGCCTATACACTAATATCTGAACTCAATCTGAATTAAAGCTGATATAATATGTAGTTATTTTATAACTTATCAAACGAGCAAATATGATTTTTGTCGTTCATTTTAATTATTTGCNAACCCTTGCAGAGCATTCCCTAAAATCAGACATTTATTATATAGTTTTTAACAGATTAAACATAAATAGCTATATTAACTTACTATAACTTTGCCGGGCTCCATAGTGACAATAAACTTTGTCACTTTAGTACGGTTCGAACTTACTAGTACTTAGAACTTGTATAATAGAAAGATCAAAGAATATTTTTAATTTATTTTATATTTTTAAATCTATGATTTCTGCTATCACCTCTAGTACACCGTTCGAACGGAAAAAGTTGAACTAGATCCAACTTCATGGTAACATGGTATACCGTGTGGTAAACACGGGTAAACATTTTGGTAAACCAAAAGAATACCGTAGTAACCGTCCAATCACAGAGCAGAATGATAATTACACGTACACGTGAACGGTCCAGTGGAAACCCACCTTAACATTTTATTTGTCATGCGTTAGACAGAAAGATCGAAAAGTATATCGCTTATTCAAAGATTCTTATTGTAATTGTATTGTTAGATACAGCCACTGTGGTGTAGGTACATAGAATTTACAATGGGGGAGCTAAACAAAGTAATTTAGAATTTGACATCCGTTTCCTTGTACAAGGTCGTTGTTGCTATATCCCGTTAAAGAAATAACCTCTACGAATAATTGAAAATACGCTAAATGTTTCTTCTAAACCGTTTTCAGAAATATCATGGTTTGTACTTTGCCTTTTATTACATACGATGTATACCATTACGTGGCCATGGGAGGAGGGCTGAAACCTCCCCCCCGGGTACGTCACTAGTTAGATGGTTATTTATTTGTAATTTTTAGTATCATATAGACATATAGTCGTAGATATTTCGTATGGTATTTCTTAAAATTTAAACCATCACTACAAAAAGCAAATGGACGTTTTGTCCTTGTCAATTATTAAGACAGGACATTTCAAACATCACATTTGGCCCCCGAGTGTAATAAGATGTTATTTTAGCCATAGGACCTTTAGAACCAGTAGAACCACCTTGTATTTTAAAATAGTCAAATTTAAATAATAATATAATTAAGCTATATAAATATGAATACATTTACATGATTATTTATATTTTGATATTTAAATCCAGGCACTATTTATTTTAAGCTTAAAATGTCAATACCCTATCTAAATTATTTTTATCAAACTACAAATATAAAATATAGGTTCCTATACCTTCTACTTATAATACGTGTATCTCTATTTAAAATATATAATATTTTTATATAATTTAAATTTAACTGGTAATAATTATATTTAAATTTATTTAAATTTCATATTTATACTCACATTTTATATTTTTTTGAAAGATTTAAAAAATTTGATATAATGATAATTGTAGGCTAAAATTCATTTTACCATCTCCTTCCGACTTTCATTGTTTTTTATGTTTAAAACACGATGCTTCATTTTCCCGAAACTATTATTTTAGAAGTTGTAGCTGTTTCAAATTAATTTCCTCTAAAAGCCACTAAATTGTTATTAAATTGATGAAGTTCACACGAAGACAGAAAGGTAAGTATGCCTCCCCCTGTTTGATCATTTACACCAGTAGGGGGAAGGGATTGTGGCTAAGCTAAGGTCCTTAAGTTTCAAAACCAGAGCCGACAGATGTAAGGAGCGACTATTTGTTATACTTAAACGTTATCCCTGTATGTTATAGGTCGCACGCAATGACAACATTTCTAGCACCCATTGCTATAACACATGAATATGTGATGTATGTATTTACGATATAACCACATATTTAAAATGGCTATAGCGTATAAAATAAGTCTCCGGAAAATGATTATTACACCATTGTTTTAAGAAATTAAATACAAGTCAGTTTCAAAAAAAAAAAAAAAAATGAAAATCATGAAGGGGTTGGTACAGTACACTTCTAATAAAAAACAAAAAAAAGGTTGATTTAAATTTAGACCGATAATTTAAAATACCAGAAGACCAAACTTCCCGCTCTATAATAATTATTGACGCAGACGAAACGCGTATGGACTAATACATTGAATGAACCGATAAAATGTGTGGTTTTCGTCTGTCGACCGTCTGTAATTCAAAATTCCATCATTATGAACTACGACCACTGAACATAAACGTATTTATACATATATAATATATTTATTTATATATTATATTTATTTGTATACGTATTATTTCATTTCAATGTTTATTATTATTATTATTGACATAGTCACCTTTGTCAGCGGTGCAGAATGGAGTGGTTTGTGTTCGAAATTATACACATCTTTGACCGGACGAAACATGTTCCGAATTCCGATCGAAGTAGGTTGGGTTAGGTTACTATTGTCAAGGGTGGGTACCCATTTTTTTTTATGGTGGTGTTTAATTTATTATTTTCCAACTCTGCGGTCGTGACTCGTGACAGTGTAGAGACCGAAACACTATTTTTTTCAATAATTTTACAATGTTGAATGTATAATATTATGTTGTATACGCCGCCTATATTTACCCTTCCAGGTAACCGGACCAGCTAGCCGCAAGTCGGTTGCAATCGCTATTTGAGCAGTGCATGGTAGTGGTGGTGACAACGACTTGTACCTTATTCTAGTTCAGGGTGGCCAGTTTCGGATCCAAAGGGGTGGGGGGCTAATAGGATTAAGACCCCCCTTGAGCTTATATTCAAATTTATTACATTATGACTTTTGAGAAATACTATAGTTATATTCAGCTTTATGTTCCGTTATAACGATAATAACGTACCAACTACCCAAAAGAATGGTGATATTAAAAATTATGTAATTAAGTATGAATATTGAATAGTATGTGTTGAATACATTTTAATTACCCCGCCCTTTGGTAAATTATTCTGGATCCGCTCATGGGGATGCCTAACTTTAATAGACTTAAAATCGACCTTTGCGTTTTTCTAGGATGTCTCGATCAACCAAAAAAAAAAAGTTGTCAATAAATAAAAAAATATATTATATTACGTACATGCGTGTAGCACACTTCTTTTATTGCTTTTTATTTGCAATATAAATAAGTTTAATAATGTTTAATTTCACAGTTTTACACAACACGTATTTTAATATATTTTACTACAAATTATTACTTTTTACTTTTCTATAACCATACTGCTACTATTATTATGTTTATTTAATCATTCAATGAGGTGTTTGTGCTAGTAGGTATTTGATTTGATGATTTCCCAAAATCTCAGGTGTATGATGACAAAGATAATCCCAGAGTTATCTTCAGAATGCATATCAGTCAAACGTGATCGGTACTTACTTTTGGTTTGAAGTAAATACGAAAATACCGATTTACATAGATATGCCGATAGAAAGCAGGAATATGCTGACTCAGCACATTGCTTTAAATTGGGAAATTCTCTCTCGCTTACCAAGAGTCAAAAGTTACAATAGATACATACACCGTACTCATGTACTGTAAAAGTGTAAGGCTCCTAGTGCATGGATAAAAATGATACAAAAAGTACCTAACTGTAGGCTAGTTACCACTTATCGCTGCCACCGCGTCGTCTACGAGAATCGCCAATAAATGGACTACACATATTATTATTTATTATTAGAGATAGGATTTTATTGACCAAAAAAATACACAAAAATACACTGAAAAAAATGAAAAATGTACTTAGATGAGCAAAAAAAATTTTAAAATTTTAAAATAAATATTATTATTAATTACTATTTATTCATTTTTGATATTACACTAAAAATATAATTTTCCGGATTTTGCGATGGGTGTTAATAATTCTATCGAAAACGGGTATGACAGCCACAATATTATGGTATGTTGTCGATATGAGTTCAAAGGGACTATTTTTTTAAGGGTACTATAGGTAATAATCGATATTGCCTATAAAACCCATATTAAAAAAACGTAAAATATACAAAAATTAGTTTAAATACACAAAATGAACGTAATATTTGAAAAAATGAACTTAAATGCTATAAAATGCATTTAACATAAACAATGCAAAAAAATGCAAAATTTTAATTACACATTCTAAATGGTTTTATCATGGTCCAAATGTGTATCTTACTATTTAACAGTTTTAAAAATTAAAACACTCAATAAAACTGCCTCCTAAAACGCCCCTAAGACTGTTTAAATTTTGCCTCAGTGGGCATTCACCCTCTTCGCTCCCCTCTACATGCACCACTGCGCATTCCTAGGAAATATATTTCTTTACGATATTAATCGAAAAGGTGTTGAACTTTTGAATTTTTTTGTTTGTAATACGCATTTGTAGGACAGGTAATATATTTTTTGTTCCAGATATTTCGGAGGGGTGCAAAACATGCATATTAACCGCATATATTGACTGTTTTTCAATATTTTAGCATCATATTTCAGGTATTTTAAGAGAATATAAATCCGGTTTTTACTTATGAACTACAAAAATAAATATTTTAATTTAATTTAAATTAATTAAGTTATTAATCTCGTGAATAAAATTACCTACTTAATATTAAAATTCCAAATAAATAGATACAACTAAGTTGTTTAATAATTTAATAATATATTTTTATTGATTGAAACTAAATAGAGTGATAAGTGCTATATATTGATTTGGTACGAACTAGTACAAAGAGGGTTGACATTTTTTTTAAATATAATTTGAGTTATATTAATATTGTTATTTTTCATATCTTTTAAAAATAGTGTGTTTTTTCGGGAATGATATTGTTGGATTTTGCAGATCTTAATATACATCGGTATCTAACTTAAATTATTTAAGTCGATTAAAAAATTATATTAAACAACTGATAAATTGATCAAATTCTTCAAGTAAATATGTTATAACTAATAAATATATAATCTTATATAATGTTAATTTCTAGGAAACAGATTTTATTTTAGTCATTTGAATACAGAATATTAGCGCAACTAAATGGCTGGGGGGAGGGCTAAATCCAATCCAAAAAAAACTCATAATTTATATATGCATGGTTAACGTGTAGGCATTAAAAGAAAATATATAAGTTACATAAATAATTAATAAGAAATATTATGACAAGAAAATAGTTTTATTAATTGGAAATGTAAATAATTTGAATATATTTTTTTAATAAATTATCAAGACAAAGTATGGACACCTTACTGAAATAATTAAAC